CTGCTGATTCCAAATAAGTAGTATGTAACACCAATCAGAAGTGGAATGCATTCCAACAGAAGATTGAGAAGATCGAATTGAAGACAATAGGAATTTAAACAAATAACAACGGGCATGGAGTGATGATGAAGTTTGTAAGAGACAACAGATGAAAGATGTGCGATTAGTGTATTTAATGTACGGTATTCATACTGTGTGAAAACACTCTGTAATTTGACACTAAACAATAAATTGATTTCCCCTACTTGAATGCTCCGTTCATTACAAGTCGTTATCTTGGTGTATATCTTTTAAGTCTTGTTAGATTATCTCAATATTGCACATATTCTAATAGACACTGATTGATTTCAATAATGGGAAATTAAAAACCCTTACAAATAATTTCTCAATTTGCGTAACATGAAATTGTTCATTTAAAATTTCTTTTCTTCCTTCCCATCAACCATTTTTGCCATTACAGCACTTCTGATTTTCACAAAATCTAAGGGTTTTTTTCATTTTTCAGATGTAAAAAGAATCAGTACGTTTCAACATATAATTATATATGTAGTAAACATTCAAGTGTACTTGAAGTACACGTCACGAGTGTGTATATTTTGTGCATTTTACGCATGTCTCTATGTGTATATATATGCGTAGCCATTTTTTTCCATGTAGTACAGATCTCTTTTATCTCTTTCTTTTCAATGTAATCTCTTGAGTATGTTATGTAATCTATCCTCGTTTGTTTCCTTCCCCACTCACCACCTATGAGAGAAACATCTTGTTAATAGGCAGTTTTTGTTTAAATAAGTAATTAATAACGATAGAAATAGCAGTCTCATTACTTTATGAACCTTTCTGTATTGTTTTCCGTTTCATCCAATTTTCTACAAAAAGAAATGAATAATACATATGATTATTTCACAATGTTCATATTTTTCCGCATGGTTTTGTTTTGTCTGAGTAAAAATGTAACAACAGTGACAGGAAGCGGGTAGGTAAGGTATAGCCCAAAAGAGAGAGAGAGGATAAACCAGAATAAGGTGACGTGATATAATGGCAAATTGAAAAATACTCAGAGCTTTTTTTCCTTTCCTTCCCCTCTCACTTTCTCTTGCTCCAAACTCCTATTCATTATCATATCCATCAAAGTGAATTGAGTATTACATCCGTCATTTTTCTTATGAAGAAAATTTTTGAAAAAGAAATATCAAAAGCACTTATTTGCCTTAATTTATTCATAGAAAAGCAAAATTGGGACTATTTTAAGTGCTTTCTCATTATTATACTCTTGTTTTATAATATGCATTTTCTATTCTGTGCATGTCTGAAAGTTTTAGATGAACTGTGCTATATATATATCGAGATGTATTGTGATAAAAAATCTACTTTTAATATATATATATATCAGTTAAGTATTCTTAAGGTAATATCGAGGCATACTCACAGTATGCACATATGCCAATAAAAGACTGATCAATTGCAGTCTTAAACCTCAATGGGAAAATACAAGCAAAACAATACCAAGTGAATTCAAATTCACCACATTACACAAGCAAGTGGCTATCAGGACTCAGTAGTTGAGTGGATAATGCGATGGCGTTTGAAGCGAATGGTACTGGGTTCGAGTCCCAGAGTGAACATCAACTCAGATGCAGGTGCATCTAGCTGACGAGTCCTAAATAGGACGAGACGCGCGTTCTGGATTCCAGTGCTAGCCACTATCCACCACCTCTTCTGATAATTTTCTTTTTTTCATGATTTCATTTTCTTCATTTTATCACATATATATGATGACGTCATATGTTTATTATATTTTCATTTTAATATCTTGTTTCCAATATTACATCATTATATATATATACATATACAATGGGATAAAATGATATCCATTACTAAAATGTATTCTGTCGGTATAATTATAATAATAACAAATGGGTAAATGTTAATTTACTTGAATAAATTAATTTCATTTTTAACCACGGTCATATTCCATGGCTTTTTTCTTTTAGAAAAATGGAACAAACAATTAATTTCTGAAATTTTTCTTTGTTTCATTCTTCTTTTTTTTTACCCCTGAGTAATCTAGATTCTCTTTTGTGATACAGTAAAAAAAATATTGGCAGACTATGTTAATGGAATATTAATGATTATATATATATGTATACTTGTATATATGTATGTGTATACATGGATATGTTCATGCCTGTATACATTGTGAGTATGTGTATGTTGTGTAAGATAAATAGAAAAAAAAATAAGGAGAATAAGCCATTTTCATTAGTAACACCAAGAATACCACTAATACTAAACACCATAGATACTTAAATATAATTATTATCATTATATACATATATATGTATATATAGAGTGAGAGAGAGAGGGGGGTACTTTCTCATCTGATAAAAAAGTTTTTTTTTTCATTTTAATGAATCTAATGGAGTTCAACTTGAAAAAAATCTGATTTTACTTTCTTCTATAAAGATTATAAGGAAACATGATCAAAGATGATTTTGTCGGATATTTTTTTTTAAATAAAAAAAAGTATAATGTGAATATAGTTTTTTGGCAAGAAAAATACAAGCAAGTTTTATCAATATTACATAATTAGAAGAAGATAGATTTTAAATTAAACGAGAGTAATCAGTATGAGTGATGGATATAATCTATTTGGTGATTAGTATTGAAGAAGTCATGACTCAGAAACTAAGAAGAGCTGTACAAAAAACATTTAATGCTGCCAAATTAAATGTCATCTTCTACAACCACCCGAAAATAAGAACATCCATTAAAGACAGACTGCCAGAATTCGCCAAATCTATGTGTATCTATCGTTTCAACTGCTCCTGTGGAGCCAGTTACATAGGGCGTACAATTCGACAGGTCCATCACCGCATTACAGAACATCATCCAACATGGCTAAGCAAAGGACAGGTGAAAGTGATTAAAAGTTCTATTCTCTCTCACTTGGTTGACACAGGTCATCAAGTCGAAGTGAATAAAGCTTTTAAGGTTATCTACAATATTCCATCAAATCTACCACATGGTTTACGAGTGCGCCTTTTGCACATTGCGGAAGCCATCGCAATCCATGTTCACAAACCTGACCTTTGCATCCAAAAGAAATTCGTACAACCACTTTCTCTACCCTGGCCTTCAGTATAAAATTTCCGTCAGCAGAACTATTTTTCATGCTTCTTCCATTTTATTTTTTATTTTTATTTTAATTTTAAATTTTTGTAATTTTGTTTCTATCGCTTTTGAGCCTTATAACTTCTCAACATTCATCTCTTGATTCTTACGTAACTACTATCCTATTGACCATCCGGTAAAATTCTATTCCTTCTTTGTTTCTTATATTACGCAACATCGCAACTTCTTGATTACTTTGAATATTAATAATCCTCTTTCTTCCAATTACTCAATGTTAATTTAAATTTCATTATGTAATTATTACGTAACGTATCCACTCGATGAGTATTATATTATTATTGTAAAACGTATATATATTAGTGTAGAGCCATGATGAAAAACTAATTGAAAAGAAATTTCTTCGCTCATTTCGTTCCTTCTTTATTTACCAAATGGCAAAATGGGAATTTTCACTATAATGATTAGTATTAGTAAATAAATTCAGGATGTACATATGCTAACAAGAGATTGATCAATGCCAGTCCTAAATAACAATGGAAAAATACAAGTAAACAACATCAAATGAATTTAAAACTTCACTCCATTGCACATGTAGATGGCTATCAGAACTTAGTAGCTAAGTGGATAATGTGATGACATTTGAAGTGAACGGTACTGGGTTCGAATTCCAGAGTGAACATCAACTCTTAAATAGGATGAAACGCATGTCCTGTACTCCACTATTAGCTATTATCTATCTTTGCTTCAAGATAGTTTATTTTGATGAAGTAACACTAACGAGAACGTAACATATTGACTGAGTGAAAAGATTAACCGATATGAACTAATCAAAGTACAGTAACAATACACATGTACATACATTTAAAGTTGATCACTCACTGATTATTTAATTAGTTATCATGATTCAATTAAGATCTATCAGAAAAGAAGTTTAATTGTTTTCAATAGACTAATTGGGTTCTTTCAATACTTACATTAGGAAGGATAATTTACACAACATTGTAATATTAACTATCAATACTTTCAGTAAAAGAAAATATTGACGATTCAAATGAATGAAACTCGAACCCAGTTTCTTTCCCTTTACCGCCTACCTCGATGAGTTATCCATTGAGCTATTTAGTCCATAAAATCACAAGTTTATTTAATGAGTATGAAATTACAAATAAGTGCTTATGATTTCCACTGAATTTCAATGTGAACACCAACAACGGGATCTAGATATATTCAGTTGATAAGTCCCAAATAAGAAGAAATGTTAGACCTGAAGTCCACTGCCAATTACATAACGAAGATATTAAAACTTATGACATTATCCTAGCAAGACAATCACCTATGGATGCAAGTATAGAACCAAGTACTGACTATTTACAGTATCGATTATCAACAAAGGGAAATTACAAACCTTAATATTTCATTTAATTTTTAACTATCAGTAAACATTGTATCAATTAATATTCAAGGTTTAATTTGTTTTTCTTTATATGACTTATTAGTTTCTTGTTATCAGTATAAATGTATACAATAATAACAATATAAACAAATATGGATATTGTCTAGCAGTGAAGTCTAGGACTCGCGTTTCGTTCTATTTGAGGCTCGTCAGTTAGATGTACCTACATCCCAGACAATATCGAGGCATGCTCAGGATGCACTTATGCAAATAAAAAAGATGATCAATTGTAGTTCTAAAGATCAATCAAAAGATCCAAGCAAACAATACTAGATAATTAATGACAATACTCTAAACTACTCAATTAACTATTCGTAACTATTATCATCTCAATGAAAATACTACAATAATATAATCAATTTATTAACATTAATTTCATTTATTTGTTTTATTTTATTCCTCTATTATACAGGATTGTACAAAAAATGGTACAACAAATACTGGAACTTATAGTTGTCTATTATTAATTATACCACTTCGACGATTAATTGGTTCTTATATTGTTACAACTTATATTCCAGAAGTTTTAATTGTTATGGTATCATGGTTAGGATTTTGGATTGATATTAAAGCAGTACCAGCTAGAGTAACATTAGGTTTGTTAACATTACTTGGTTTATTAACTGAAGTAAGTTTTTTTTTGTTTTTCATAAGACAATTTGATTTGTTACCGATAATCGATGTTTTATACTCGAAAAGAGTACATTTTACTTCAATTATCTAACATGTTATTCAATTAGCTACTAGAACCAGTTAGCTAAATTAAATAAAACACATGACCATTGCACAAGTTATTGGTTATCTACACTTATCAGCCTAATGAATAATGCGTTGATGTTTGAAACGATTAGTGCTTAGTTCAAGTATGAGTGTGAGTACTAACGTTGGAATAAGGTCCTCAAATTCAAAATGAAGAACAGCAATCCAATCACTCTTGATGGAGAAACTCTGGAAGATGTAGAATCCTTCACATACCTGAGAAGCATCATCGATAAACAAGGAGGACCAGATGCAGACGTAAGGGCAAGGTTTAGCAAAGCAAGGACAGCATTCCTACAATTGAAGAACATATGGGACTCAAAACAACTGTCAACCAATATCAAAGTCACAACCTTCAATACGAACGTCAAGGCAAATCTACTGTATGGAGCTGAAACTTCGAGAACTACAACAACCACCATCAAGAAGTACAAGTATTTATAAATAGCTGTCTACGCAAGATACTCAATGTGCGTTGACCGGATATCATCAGCAACAGCCTTCTATGGGAGAGAACAAACCAACTTCCAGCTGAAGAAGAAATTAGGAAAAGACGATGAAAATGGATAGGACATACATTACGCAAATCATCAAACTGCATCACGAGGCAAGCCCTAACTTGGAATCCTGAAGGGAAGTGGAAAAGTGGAAGGCCAAAGAGCACATTACGTCGGGAAATAGAAGCAGATATGTTAAGGATGAATAAGAACTGGAAGGAGCTGGAAAGGATTCTTCAGGATAGGGTTGGATGGAGAATGCTGGTGAGCGGCCTACGCTTCTTCACGAGGAGTAACAGGCGTAGGTAAGTAAGTACTAACGTTGGAATGTGTAAATTCATCGAGCTGACAAATTTCGAATAGGACAAAATGCACATCTTCGATTCCACTGCTAAGCAATATTCAACGTTAGTAGTCATAGACACACACTTCTATGGAGCTCTGTAACATAACCAAACAGTTATTTAGTGTTTCCGGGATTTTAATAGTTGTCTACATACACGTGTGAAAATATCAATTTATTAGCTAAATTTATGCCATATAATCTAATTTGATTAATAAAATATACTCATATAAGTATGAAGGATTTGTCCAGATTGTTGAGTTTAATAATCGACACCATTGATTTGTCTTAGACAATTATTTAAAGCCAGGAAACATTGAACAGACGTTTCACTCTAGAACTGAGCTCCCCAGCATTGCATGTTCGCGACTCAACTAGGGATCAAACGCGGGATCTTCAGGTCTCTCGCAGAGTACTTAGCCTTTGTACCACCAAATTACTATCTGTTGATTTACATTTCTAACTTGAATCGATTTGCAATATTGGATCATCACCATCCACTGTCATTGAGTAAATAACTCACTCCAAACAACTATGAGCTCGGTTCATTCAATATTACTTAAATGTTGCAAGAAGGTTGAATCAGTACATTAGGCTATTTGGAAGTCTGGACTGAAATACTCTTATCTTGATCATGTTTGTTAGTTTATTGATTTTAAAAAAATGTCTTCAAGATATTCTATTGATAAAATCCATTGTCTTTCTTCCCCCCCCCTCTTTCTCTCTATTCTCTTTGTTTTAATCAAAAAAATAAACAGAGTAGCAGTGTTAGTTCACAATTACCTAAAGTAACCTATTTAAAAGCAATTGATGTTTGGTTAACTGTTTGTTTATTATTTGTCATCGCAGCATTAGCTGAATTCGCTTATGCTTATTTAATGACACCTAAAAATGACAGTCCTGAATGGGAACCAGAAGTGAGAGATTTAGTTAAAACTTTATTAGTAAATTATACTGGTGAAATTCGATGTTGTTGTTGTTTCACAAAGAATCGACATCATAAACCAATTTTCAAAGATAATAATAATAATAATCAAAGATCTCAGTCACATCAACCACGATCCTACATAGATAGTACACATAAAAAATTAAATTCACATACAAGAGATATTGAATCTGATCCTGAATTTACAATGAAATCAATGAAAAAATCAAGTAGAACAAGTAGATCAAGGCATATCAAATCAACAAATCTACGTTGTAAAGTTTGTGAATCATATCAACCAGTATGTTGTACTTGTCCAGCTTGTGCTCGATTGAAATGTCCTGAAGCACCAAGAAAAAAACCAACACAAGTAAGTTGTATATGATTGATATTTTTTTTCCTGAAAGGTTTTAATCATTTGATATGATTATAAATATTTAATGGAATGCTTCAATCAGTTTTCTAAGCTCTTCTAGTAACTCCAAGGTTAAATCTACACGATAACTTAACCACGAGAAAAAAGGCGCAAAATATGGAAAGAATGCTTTACTCCACTATTAGTAATTAGGATATTTTTAGCACTTCAGATAGCTTCGGGTTTTTGGATGAATCTGGAGCCCTACTAAACGTAGTATCAGCATAGATGCCCACCCAGTCTGAAATGTGAAACGTGGCTCTTCACTTTCTAGATGTTCTTAAGAAACATTTATTCAATGCTGATTGGATAAAATGTTTCTCAGTGTTTTCCGGGCCCCTCTGGGCTTTTTTTGAAAAATACTCTGGGCCTCTCCAACAATATCAAATTATTGTTTTGAATAATAAAAATTTGTTGAATAGTTTAGAGATTTGATTTTAGGTGAAGGAAACCCAAGTTTCGTGTTAGCTGCCACTCATCGACTAGGTGCAACCCAAATTTTAAGGGGATTGTAGGATTCAAATCTGTCATTCCATTTCATAGTCTGAGACATTACCATTGAGTTTTTGAGATTGCAACTGACCTACTCAAATACTAAGATATGTACACCAATTGATTATCAAGTAGTATCATAATTGTGTGATCATTACGATTGGTCGAATTTCATTGGTTAATTTGAAATGTGATCCTTAGTATCAATGATCGGATGTTGTATTAGACAAAGTGAATTTAATAGTAGAACTTAACAGGTGGTTAATGTTATATCATTTTAACAGTTTCACAAAGATTCTTTCACGAAAACTACCTCTTATTTTAAAATATTGAATTAATCCTAAAACTGTTGACTATCGTAAAAAAAAGAATAGAATACAATGAATTTTACATAACAATCTTGAAAAGTATTTCAGATAAATTATTCATCGTATTGATTAAAATAATTTGATAGTATGGTGAGAAACTGACACCAAAACGCTATGCTTCTAAATATCAGAGTGCATCTTTTAAGCAATTGTTAACTGACTTGAATTCAGAGAGATTTTAGTTAACCGTGGATGTATACTGTACATTAATATCCGGTTAGATTCTTCCATAATTGTAAATATAATGTTCACACGGTAAATTCTTAACGTAATTTACAATTCTTAGTTGCGATGATATTTAAAGTACTAGTCTAAATTGTTTAGAAGAGATAGGTAGCAGTGGAATCCAGGATGCACGTTTCATCTTATTTATGACTCGTCAGCCAGATGTACTTACATTCTAGAATTAGTTTGAACTGCCGGACTGGAACACAGTACAATAGGCTTCAAACACCAAAGCATTATCCACTTAGCTACTAAGTCCAGATAACCACCCGCTTGGCAATGGGTATGAATTTGAACTGAATGGTCTCTTACACTTTTATTAACAATTCTAAAGATATATTAGACTAATAGCTAAGTTTAAGATAGAGGTCAAATGTTTTATTCATTATGCCGAGAATAATAAAACTAATACCAACTAAAAATTTCACGGAAGAATTGGAAAAAATGCCAAAAATGAAAAATAAAAACGTAATTGTTATTGAATATAATATTGTTTGTTGGAATGAAGTGTGTTCCCTAAAAATTCATAGATTCAGGGGAAAATATCGTAGCACGAAATATTTCACTTACACATTCATACTACTTGTCAATAGTTCATATCATTCATTAAAAATGTTACTCGTAAGTAACTTCCATTCAAATAAGATATCGCTTCCATTGCAAAACTAGTAATAACACTCAACAGCATATATTATTATCTATCATTTCCATTGAGAATTCTCACAACTGAAGTTTTCAAACCTGGATAAACATTCAGAAACTTCGTAAGATACGTGAACCAACTCATTTACTGGTAAGGTTTCTTTTTTGAAAGAGATTTTATCATCACAGAAACATTGTTCAGACCTATTTTTTTAAGTTCTTTTTGTGTAAATCGGTGATATATTTGATTATAGAATATTCGTTTCAGAAAACCAACCTTACTTCAATAGAGAAACCGATAGTTTTATGAATGAATAGTTTTTATGAGTAGACATTAATCATAAAATGCTGTTTGTGAATTATATATTGAAAAATTTAATTAAGAGTGACCTAACACTGTAATTGCTGCCACATTAATTTGGAAACATCTTAAATCACTCTTTAACATGATTTGAAAGCTTAGGAATATTGGATAAGTTTTTAATCCATGTTTGTAACTTATAACCAGTACTCATTAAATTATACATTATATCAAATTCATAGAGTATAGATGTGACAGTGACATTGTTAAAACCCATTGGTTCGAACTTATTACTTACCCAAACTAGTTAAAATCCTGTGAAGTCCACAATCTCTACAAACTCTTAGTGATAATAACAGTTATATGCTTACCAATAACTTAGTTTGAAACTAATTTCTTAATCCATATTGCCAAACCGTTACCAGTTTAGTTTAGCTATATCGAGAACAAGACAGGTATCATCAATGACAGTGGATGGCAGTCACTCAAAATTATTAACTGACTAAGGTCAGATATGTGAACAATTATGTATGAACTGAGTAGACTTAAGGTAGCTCTCTATCAAACTTCAGGGTTTTGGCCTTATAACGTGATTAAGAACTGAATGTACACTGATAAATAGTTCCAAATAGTAGTCTATTGTTTTTCTTAATTTTAAGTGGTAATCTCTACATAAAGTCACTTCGTGATACAAAACTCAAAAATAATTGATTAGTCAGTGAGTAAAGCAACCAACTCATTTCTTTCCTAAACGTAATTTTATTCATTTAATAATTGAAAAGTTCAGTATTATTTATCTTCTTTGAATGTTTCTGAAATGTCATTATTTTTAACGTACATAATGAAAGCATTAGTTTCGTCATAACCGTTAATTACAAGTTGTGGTTCCCAACCCTACGCAACACTAAATCACTGAAAAGACAGATCAGTAGGGCTAATAAATCACAATATATTTACGCAATACACTCAACTCCATTATTTAACCAACGGTCAAGAACCAGATATAGGCCAGTTAGCGGGTTTATCATACACAACATAGAGTAGTCAACAGGTAAAATCAAAATGGAACAGAATTGAAATAAATAACAATCCAAGATTATTTCTTATATATAATTCAGTTAGATTTGTCCATCTTCACTCATTGACCAATCACAGTTTGCTTCCAGGAGACGCACTAAGTTATTTTTATTTTTCCACTTTTAAACATACTATTAATTAGTTATCTAAACTCTTATAAATCAAATGAAGCCATGTTTTTTTTAATAGTTGAATTCATGAATCAATTGAAGCTAGACTACCATGGAAAACCTGGAAGCACTGGATAGCCATTTCGTCCTATTGTGAAACTTCACAGCCGTGCGCATCAACTATTAAAATTACTAAAATATCCACAAAAAGCTTCTCATATTAATCAACATATGCTCACTGGTGACGATTTCCAAGAGGTATTTCCTACAGTTCTAGTGAGAAGCAGTGACCAGTGCAGTTCAACTGGTCTATTGTGAGATAGTAACTCACTGATGACAATGGTAGATATGTCACTCAATTTAGTAGATTAGTTAAAGTTAGAAATTAACACAGTTGGATGCCGACCAACTCAGTGGTCTAGTGGTTAAGCATTCGAGCATAAGACTGATAGATCCTGTGTCCAAATCTCGCAAGGCGGTATCGTGGATGCACACTTCTAAAGAGTCCTACAATAGAATGAAACAATCATCCAGTGCTTCCAAGTCTTCTATGGTAGTCCCTTTTAAAATCATATTTAATAGTTGTTTATATATATATTCTTTCTTTTTAAAAAAAAATTAATTTAGGCAAAAATATCAACAAAACAATCAAAGTCAATAAATCATAATGAACTAAGAAAAATCAATAAGATTAAATCAAATTTAATCGATTATCCTAAAATAATAAAACCAATAAAAAAAACTAAATTAATCAATGAAAAACAATTACAATCAATAAATATTGATTCATGTCATGTATTTATTCAACCATTCAATAATGAATTATTATTATTAAATAAACAACCTAAAAAGTCTGCATTAAAAGTAAAACAATCAACAATATACAATATAAACAATAATGATAATAATAATAATTTAATCCATTCAAATAAAGAATTAAAAATTACTACATTTTTAGATCATGAAAAGAAAATATAATAAATGAATCATTAACATATTCTAATAATAATAATAATAATAATAATCGTCATGATTATCAATCTCCTCCTCCTCATCCTCCTCCTCATCCTCCTCCTCCTCCTCATCCTCATCTTGATCCTCATAATCATCATGACAATCAGTATTATCAACAAATCAATCAATTCAATAAAAATTATGGTATTTAAAAAATATTTTATATAAATGTATATGTTGTTTTAAATGTACCTATCATGATCATGAACATCGTGATCATCATCATCATCATCATCATCATTCGAATGAAAAATATCAACCATTAATTAAAATGTTCAACAGATCATCTAAATCAAATCACTGTAAATCAATAAAATTTATAAATTCTACTCATACTACTACTATTACTACTAATACTACTAATAATAATATCCCATATGAATCAAAAATTGATGCATATAGTCGATTCATTTTTCCAATATTCTTTGTTTTATTTTTATGTATTTATTGGTTTTTTTATTTAGTATTAGCTAAAGATTAATTTTAAAGAAGAAGAAGAAGGAAAAAAAATGGGAAAAGTGAAATGGGAATAGAGAACTTGTTGTATTCAATAGTTTCATTATAATTACAATAAGATGATAATGGTGACGATGACAACGACAACGACGACGATGACGATGACGACGACAACGATGATGATGATGATAATCAGTGATAAATGAATAATAAATAAATAAACATTAGATAGACTAAACAATCAATATTATATAGAATTATTACTTATTGTCTTTCAGTTAATTAGTATCTTTTATACAAATATATATATATATATATATATATATATACCTATATAGATATCTTAGTATAACACTGTATACTTATGAGTACATGGATGTATTATATATATATAATTATAAATGGATACTATTTAGCCCAATTAGTTAGAATGATTAAATTTATCTGTATTTCTTTGAATTTCTTATCATCTATGACATTACATAATAATAATAATAACAATCTATCTTAAACTCTTTCAACTCTTGATTCTTTCACTTCTTCTTCTACTTTCCCTACAAATTCTATTTATACACAGACTCTTTGTTGTATGATAACTACATATAAATGTATACACTTCAACACATATAAGTGAATACAAAAACAAAACAAAACAAAATCTTATCATTATTAACATTAAAATCGTTTATCCTAATTTGAATGATAAACATAAACGTTCAAAGGAATACAACACTATTATTATTATCCTTGTTCTCCAAACTAATGTTAATCATAATGATAATTTTACAAAGATTAGTGTAATAATAATAATAATAAACAATATCAAGAGTTATGAGTTATTGGTTGACTTTGTTTTGTTTTGTTTCTTTTTTTTTCGATATTTTTCACTGTTAAATCGATCTCCTCTAGGTTTTTCTTCTCTATTTATCACTTCCTTTTCCCTTCTTTCCATAGTTCAAAGAGAAAAAGAATGTTTCTTCTAATCAATTTTTTTTCTTTTTTTGGCTTGTTTTGTTTAATTTCCTATAAGGAAAAATGTACAGTTGAGTGTTGTTGTTTTTTGTTGTTGATGATGATGACGATGATGATGATATTAATGCTAATGCCATAATTGTTTGTTCTATGGATGTTTATGTGTGTGAGGGGATAAAAAGCTGGGTATGTGGGTAGATTATTGTTTGGTTAAGGATACAATAAGATCAAGACACTAAATTACTTGCTTAGTTTGATGTCATGAAATGGAAATCAACGAATTTTTACTCAGTAGTTTGAAAGTTACGCATTCCTTGGAAGAAACGAAGGTCCTTGATCCGATCCTTCGTGGGATCCTTAATATCTAGTGTTGATGAGTTCCGAATTAGGGCGAAACTATTGTTCCAGACTCCCTGGTTTTTAGTGATTGTTTAATCAAAGTTAGTCCGGTATGAAAAAATTTAAAAATCTATGTCTGATGAAAAATTTGTTCAAGTAAAAATCATGGCCATGATATGGCCTTAAACTGTGAATAACATCTATGAGTTTCATGACAGTTTACAACATGAATTGAGATCAACTGAAGAATAATTAGAAAACTAAACAGTACTAAACAAATAGTCTTTGATAATATTATGCTCTCTCAGATGAATGGTTTAATTGTGAAGGTTCCTTTGTCATTCTGCACAATATTATCAGTGTTTACTTCATGTAGCCAAAGCTTTCTGATTATTTCACAAGCATTAAATCAATCTCCTCTGATAAACCTTATATCTAACTGATTTTCTTCAAAGATTTTATTATTTCTATGTGTTCTTATATTCCTATCGACCTGTATTTTTTTTTTCGGTTAATCAATGAACATGTGATTGATTGACCTCCTCCATATCAATTTTTGTCATTCGAGGTCATTTAACGAGGTATGACCATCACTTCAAAAATAGTAACAGAAAATAGAACATTCAGATATTATGACAGACCCAGTGTTATTTATCTATTCAATTAGCATCCATTGATTCATAGACTTAAATTCAATCAATCTCTCAAACATAATAAATGTCATCCTCATTGTTGTGTTATTTAAACAAAAACGAGTTCAGTAGTAAAACCATTAGAGTCTATATAGAATTTACATAAGACTATTCTACCATCTTAATTTATCTAACAACTCTGATTAATAGAAAATAGATCAGTCAAATCAACGAATTCTCATTTGACTCTGATCACAGTATGAAATAGTCAGGGTTCCATATTGTTTATATTTCTCCATTATTACTCATAGGATGTCTTAATTCTGACTTTATTGACTTCACTAGTATATAGTACATTTTCACTATAAAGTTATTATTTATGTCAATGGTCGTTTTCACGATCCCATATAAATCATTATCTAAACAGTTAAAATTACTAAGTTGAAATACCCTAATCTAAGAATAGCGACATACAAAACTTATATCTAATGAATGATGGAAAGTTGCTAGCAGTGGAATCCAGGACGCGCGTTTCGTCCTATTTGGGACTCGTTGCTTACAAAGCTTGCGAATTAAGGCAATATCGAGGCATACGCACAGTATGCACATATGCCAATAACAGACTGATCAATTGCAGTCTTAAACCTCAATGGGAAAATACAAACCAAACAATACCAAATGAATTTATATCTGATGAGTTAGAAATAAACTGAGAAAAAAAGAAATACATTTAACATATTTATGGTTTGAATCACGAACCGACTTTAGCTGAGCAACTACTAGGAATCAAGAAGTACTGAGTATAAGTTCTGTCCCAACGTAGAACTCTTACATGTAACCATCCCAGACTCTACCATAGGTCAAACCCAGACTCTTAAGGGCTTGCAGCGAACACTTAACAACTCTAATCCCTGGGATGGGGTCCAATGGTTCATATTTCTAAATTCAATCCATTCACAATACTCCATAAACATCTTTCAACCTCAGTTTAATCTCACTTCATAATGTATACTATAAGAATTCAACATTCACTACAAACTGATATACTAATTCTACATTTATCAATTCATTAAACAACATACAATTGTATTCCATCAACTAGGACTGATTAAATTTCAGCTGAAAATTCAAGTTGTAAATTTCATTCTTGTAAATAAATCTCATTCAGGTCCATACTTTGTATTTAAACATTTAACCTAATATGCAACTGTAGTTTTATTCATAATACTATTTTTTCAGTTTAGGGGTTGTGGGAATTGTTAAGTTTTTGACTGAAATCATGAGTCAATTAAAACTAGACCACCATGGAAAACCTGGAAGCACTGGATGGTCGTTTCGCTCTAGTATGGGACTCCTCAGAAGTGCGCATCCACGATCCCACCCTCACCCGCGAGGTCCGAACTCAGGACCTATCAGTCTCGCGCCAAGCGCTTAACCAACTAGACCACTGAGCCGGCATCCAATGGTGTTAATGTCTAACCTCAACCAATCGACGAAATTACGCGACCATCTTCCATTGTACTGAGGTAGACACCTGTTTCCACCCGACACGGATTAGCTATACTATTTTTTTGTTTATTACAACAAAATTTAGTACACTTCAGAGGTGATTTTTCTCAGACTAAGTTCAATTACAGTATGATGTCTTATGCGTGTGTTGTTGAGAGATTCCAATGTAGAATAGTATAATATCGTAATGCTTGTTAGTTTTCAAGAGGTCAGGAATGACATAAACAAAGTTAAATGTTTGACTCAATATATATAGTTTTCACTGACTTTATTGAAGGTTATTTAACTATGCATTTAGGAAAGTTATTTGACTGATACATTAAGTATACTTGTAAGCAAAAGTGATTGTCCCCTTATAAATTCATACAGTTTCCAACATTCAAAATTATCAATGGTCAGTCATAAAGTTTTATAACCACCTACTCCTTCCTTTCATTACGACATATTGAATAACTCTAATAATGTGCCCACATTTCTATTCTATTGTACATACTATACATGAATGTACATAGAATTTTAACTTTACATTTTGTTTAACTACTTATATAGCATATAAGTAGTCCACTTCATACATGAATTTTAAAAGAAAGCCGAATGCTCAATGAAGAATTCTTGAGAGATACATTTAATTATACATTTCGTCAATTGAATATATATATATATATATATATATATATATATATATATATATATATATATAAAAGATAAAGTCAGTGTATGTGAAACATTTTCTTTGACTTAGGTAAGAACTGTGCAAATAGTTCATATATTATGAATTAATACATAATGTGAAAGATCATGTAAGATATTGTGAACTTGTTCCATATCACCAATCTAATTGTTACTTTTATTGTTTTCCATGTTCTGCGTTAAAGTTTTGGAGACATCTGGTTTCATTGAATTAACAATAGCAGATTTCTTCTCTGTCCCGACTGATGAAGTGTCATCTAAACTTCCTTGACTATAGCCTAATTGATTATCTCCATTATAACAACCACCTGCATATGAAGATAAATTATAATCTGGGTGTATTAGTAATACTGGCCCATGTGATTGATGTTGAGTGGGTGTATTTAAGCAAGCCCAAGTTTTTAACCATGGTGATTCGAAACCAACATGATGAATACGTGGATCAGACGTACGTAAACTAGTTGATACAGTTTCAATTGATGGTGGTCCACCTGGTGTGGCTGGTGCTAAAATTGTTGGCGTCATTGACAAGTCATGTGATAAAAAATGTGGTATTAATCCATCATCTGTCTGTTTTTCATTAGATTTAATACGCTGAGATTTGTTATTTTGTTTAATTTCAAATAGTATCTTTGGAAAGCATAGATTTGGAAAGACAGAACTAAAGATTGATAACAAACCACTCATTATTGTTACGACATAGGCCCATCCAAGTTGACAGTGACCTAAAAGAGACGTTTGACAAGTAAAATGCAGAACAATTGATGAATCAATCTACAGTCGAGTTGGATTGATAGTTATCGAATTTCACTGGTATATCTAAAAATAACTAAAATCTGTCCAGTTAGAAAGTAGATATCGAAAGGATGTAACTATCGGCAACCACCAAATATTCAACCCTTAGTTAATTTTTATAAATGTATTTAAAGAATCGGAAAATTTCGGGAACACTCCCTGACACTAGCTGGATAGCCACTGAATAACACAGAGCACTGGATAAATATTTCGTTTGAGTTTAACTGAAAATGTGAAATATGGTTAAGTGGATGCCGGTTCCATAGACGGATAATATTATGCAGAACACGAGACTTTTGACTTCACATAGAAAAAAAAACAACTTCTCAATGTTATTTTACTGTGATGTAGATTTATTTCGTCATCTTTTCTTCAGAAATAAAAATTTTCTGGTCTTTTATAGGATGGTTTTTCCAGCATCATGTTCAGCTTACTAGGAATCGAAGAAAATTGTAGTTCTTATGAAGGTCTTTAGTTTGATGTTTGGCCAAGCCGTGGGTGCACACTGATAAGGAGTTGCATACTACGGCAAATTAGTTCACCAATAGTCCCTGATTTTTAATGGTACATCAGCTCAGATGAATCTTTAGTGTTGATACATTATTCTGATTATCACTATTCCTACTTTGATGCATTCATTTAATAGTAAAATGCACAAAAATCAAAGAATACTTACCTAGATCGAATCGTGAACGCCTTTCACCACATATTTGAATAATTTCATCATTGTCAGACCATCCAATAGGAAACAGATGCAACATAATAGGATTAAGAGACCTTTTTAGAACAAAAGAAAAAACTTCATTTCTAGATATGTGGTATAGATTACTGAAAACAAATAGAGTAGTATTAAAATGTTTTCATAAAGTGATATTACCAATGACAATGAATGATGGTTATGCAATATCAAGAATAAGTTTCAGTCAAACATATAGTTGACTAGTTGGCTACTATTCATTGGTCTGAAGAACAAGCGTTTGCTGTGAAGTCTAAAGATACTGAAATCGATCTATGGTGAAGTCGTGGACGCGAATTTCTGAGGAGTTCCATGTTAGAATGAAACACTTGTTCACTGGTTCCTGGTTTTCAATAGTTATCTAACTCATGTCAGTTTGTGGTGTACAATCAATTCCTTTGATCATAAAAATGTATGATGATTTAGACCAGAAATGAACATAAAACAGTAATATTAGGTTGAAAACGTTGAAATAATTTCTAATTCTTTTGACAATGATTTTCACAAAACTGTAAAACCGTACTCAAAACCAATCGATAACAGTGTAATTTGATGAGGGTAGAGCAATAATATAAGCTTCTTTAAAAGTATACATTTCAAAATATGACAATTTAAATAACTGAAATAAAGTTTAACCAAGTCTATAATCGATTTCATTCAATTAATGTTCCCGACGAAGTCTAACTATATAAACTATTCAAATCTAATATAATGATCTGAAGAAGGACAAAGTGGTTGGGAGATCTGACAGTCTTGGTTTTAGTCTTTAACACGATCGTGACTAATCATTGTTGAAAAATATCAAAGTAAAATGAAATAAACATTCTATTGTCTTTGATTGTTATTGGCTTCTTCAAACTATAACACAGACACAGAGTAAAATCCCCTTTCATTCAAATTGTTAAAAGCATTTTCCTGTCTTATTGCATAACCAATATAATTTGTTTAAGTAGTCAACAAAATGGGGGAGACTGTATACACTATAAAAACACTAGCATTTCTTCCTCACACTAAATACATGCCAGCACAGTAGTCTAGAGGTTAGGCGTTCGCATACGAGATCGAACGTCCTGGGTTTGAGTTCCACATGCGAGACCGTGGTTGAGCACCGCTAAGGAGTCCTATACTAGAACGAAACGGCCGTCCAGCACTTCCAAGTTTTCAATGGTGATCTAGCTTAGACCGGCTCATGAATTCAACTACCAAATTGCTACAATATCCACAGACCCCATTCTGATAATAAATATCATATTTACGAATGTGTGGGTGTACATGCATTGACAAGATATAAATCAAACTCCATAAAATTAGTTGATTTTAATAGTTGAGATCATTAGTTAATTGAAACTAGACTACCATGGAAAACCTGGAAGCACTGGACGGTCGTTTCGTTCTATTGTGGAACTCTTCAGCAGTGCGCATCCACGATACCACCTCACGGGATCCCAACACAGGATCTATCAGTCTCGCGCTCAAACGTCTAACCACTAGACCAGCATCCAACGGTGTTATTGTCTAACTTCGACTAATCCACAAAATTGAGCGACAAATTCACAATTATCTTCAGTGAGTTACTATCTCACAAAGGACCCGGTTGGACTCCGCTAGTCATTGCTTCTCACTAGAACTGTAGGAAATACCTCTTGGAGACCGTCACTAGTGAGAATATGTTAATTAATACCCGAGGGGGGTTATTTAGGACAAAATGAAACGATTTTGTTATCCACGTTAACACAGAGAATAATAATATGGAAAAAATATATCTCTATCAATAACTGTTTAGTTGAAAGAAAACAAAACTAAACATAGTGATGAATCCATTGATAATCAATACATCGATAAAGTAATCAGTGAATTTACATCAAAAATAACCCAATCTTACATGTCTTTGGCAATAAAGAGGAAAGCCAATCAGTCAGTTATATTCTCCATATAAAGAAAAAATAATCAACTCTAATGTTATATATACAAAACTAACATGTTTTACAATTTGGAATACATTAACATCAATATCTATTATTATAAAGTTAAATAGAAATTTTCCAACATTGATAGAAACAGTCTACAAATTAATGATATACAATGATTTAAGTAGTATAACATGAATTCCACTGATTTCATTTGGTTCTCGTCAGCTACTTATAATCGGTAATATTAAACAAATATAGTTATAAAATAGTTTGGATTTAATTACATAAAGGAGTTTGAATGAAAGTTGATATGATCACATATCATTATGGTATAGAAAGGGCGTAAATAAATTTAATAGACAAAATAAACAAATATCTTATGTGAAAGAACATTCTACAACAACGATAGTAACAAAATTTCACTGGTTGAAATCATGAGTTAATTGAAGCTATACCACCATGGAAAACCTGGAAGCACTGAACGGCCTTTTCGTCTTAGTATGGGACTCCTCAGCAGTTGTGAGATGGGAACTCACTGAAGACAATGGTGTACAGTAGCGCAACTTCGTGGATTGGTTGAAGTTAGACACTAACACTATTGGATGCCGGCCAGCTCAGTAGTCTAGTTGGTTAAGCGCCTGGCGCGAGACGGATAGGTCCTGGGTTTGTATCTCGCGGGTTGCGGGATCGTGGGTGCGCACTGCTGAGGGGTCCCATATTAGGACGAAACGGCCGTCCAGTACTTCCAGGTTTTCCATAGTGATCTAGCTTCAATTGACTCATGATTTCAACCAGTGAAATTTCTAAAAATCTCCACAAAACCCATTCTGATGATAGTAATAAAAGTTTAAAGGGATAGAAACTAGTGGTTACGTAATGAATAAACTCTGATAAGTAGGAACAAAATGAATGAAGCTCAGTTATTTAAAATAAGATCATTCATCTAGAACATAGTTGAAATAAAAATGACGTAATGATGTAACTGATTGAAAGAAAGAGTTCAACAAAATTTCATGATGTATTGAAAAGACGTTTATGTTATCAAAGCACGAACACGAACATCCGGTTTTTGATGCCTGATAGAGATGACTTCAACAAATTTCGAAAGATTGGAGTTTGGTTGTTTATTAATCACCCTCAAAGATTTCAAGGCATCAACTTGATGTCCTGTGTCTAAGAAGTGTCTAATAATCACGTTATTTAAAATATTTCTTCCCTTTGTTCGAAGACTTTTCAGAACATGTTCAAAACAATCTAAGATATTCTCTCGTCTCCATTCGGACAGTCTAGCTGCTTTGGCAGGTACATGTGAATCTATAGATTCGGTTAGCGGTAACATAAAAAGGGTACTTGATAGCTTTTGAATGAATTATTGAACATGTTGTTTCAGACAAGATTAATAGCTTGGCTTCAGAGTAAGTTCTGGCTAATACAACATTAAGCCTCTTAATCATCGTCCCTACAACGCCGCCACCTTTGGAGTTGAAATGGATAAACATAGGCTTTTATCGACTGTAACTACATCCGACTTGTCTTCAGTTTTCTTTTACATTTATCAATGAGTTCGTGTGGGTAACATTTGTCTCCTGGGCAATTTTCAACGTTCATCGATTCACATTCTGGTTTGTCAGTGGTACATATTTTTTACTCTGGAAAATAGTGTTTTGATCAATGCTTTCGTGTAACTCATTGGAAATAAACTACTGAAATCTAGGTACTTGCTCTCTTCTAGATGATAAAGGGAACTATGTGCATGAAGTTTATGAAATAAAAATGTCGTTAAAATGGAGTGGACATTAAGAAATTCGAAACGTTTACCATTATTATAGGATGATGTATTATCTCTATTTTTATTACATACCTATGAAGTAATTGGTTTGTGGTATTTCTATGTTATCCTATTTATAAGCCTTCCTTTGAAGTCTTAGCTGTCGGTATACGTCTTACCATTCCTGAATTATCTCTGATTCATCTATAGCTCAATTCTAACACTGACTCCGTTGTGTGCAACCTATAATGCTTTTATTTGTAGTATGTAGTGGTCTGTTAATTAGTTTATATAAATCTACAAGTGTTTTGTTTGCTTGTTGTGTTCTTATTCTGACCGGCTACTGTGCTAGAAGAAAGCTGTACTTCTGGTCCATTAGGAATAGGAGTTGTCGTGACCGGTCCTTCAAGGTTATTTGTTACTTATCAAAGAGTGTCATTGGTTGAAATGGAAGGTATATGGTCTGATAGAGATGAAGTGTAGTCGTATTAGTAAATTTTCCTGATTTATTAATTTGATTATAAGACTGAAAAACATAATGGGATAAGTTAGTGAAGTTAGTTGAAACAGGTTTGAATTCTACAGGAAACTTTGCTTCCCATAAGATTTCAGGTACTTCTCGTAAGAAATCGAGGTGAAGAGTTTCCTGTAGGCTATCACAAACCACTTAAAATCGTTGTTACTCATAATCAATTTAATAAACTTTTACGGTAAGTTTGATCTAAGCTTAAGCGAATTATATAAAGTAACTGAATAAATGATGATTGATTTATGCTGGTACATCGTTTGAACAGACTCCTAACGAGTAACTTGTTGTCAAAGTATCACACCGCTTTTTCATCGCTTTCAACCCTTATTTTTTTTAAAAAAATATAGAATTGTATTTCTTCTTTAAATAACTAATTTTATTTCACTGACACAGGTCAGTTGTCTTTGTCTGGTAAAATTATGACTCATGAAAATGAAGTTAACTTGGGTAGAAATAATAGTTATTCTTTATTCATTAATATATTGTTTCATTCAATTCCCTCTTAAAAGTGAGGAGTACCATTTATAATTGTTATGATTCATGATGTCTTATATATTGATGATGAGATTGTTTGGGTACAAACGTGATCTTTACGAGCTAGATAAAGTGAACGACTGATACTTAGTCTTTCAACTATGATCCCCTATAAGTTTGAACTGAAAGAAATCAAGAACACCAGAAAAGGATTTATATTAATATAATTTTGAAGTATCAGTTGTCTCAAGATTAAAGGTACGCTTTGTTGACTTGTACCAACTAGAGCCAAGCCTAGGTAAAAACAAGATACCACAAACCACCAATAACCCTGAAGATCCTGGGTTTGACCAATGGTAT